GGGTGTAAAAATAGGGGTGGTTTTTTTTTTTTTTTTTGCTTTAACGACACTTAACATTATGTCTGTTTATCATCGAATTGACACACAACCAGAGGACAAAAATACAAAAATATTCAGCTCTTTGGAGACGGGTGCACTATTATTTATCCCAATCTACATATTGTTTCATTTAGTGTTTTTGACGAGTCACAGTGTGAAGTCCGCGTGCACATTAAAAACAAACACTGGCGACTGTGCTGTCCGACTGCGAATAAATGACTCGTAAAAAAAATAAATAAATAAATACAGAAGTTGCTAAGTGCCGTCTTCTGCGGGATGAGCTCTGAATACAAAGTGTCCGGCTTGCCTTTAAAGGGGAGGGGAAGCGTCTGCAATTGTATGAAAAAAGCTCGGGTGTAGTGGTGCACTCGCCGGACTTGTGTGAATGGTCGTTTGTCTCTACATGTGCCCGGCGAGTGAGTGGCGACCATTTCAAGGTGTAGTCTGCCATCTGCCCGAAGTCAGCCGCGATAGGCTCCAGCATCTTCGAACAATACAAGATATGTTACTTGGTGGGGACAGAATTGAGAACGACCGGACTGTGGAATTTTTCCTGTCATGCCTTTTGCAGATGTTATAAGCGCAATACGGTGTGTGTGGTGAAATGACGAGGAGGCCAGCCTGCGTTGTCGTGTGAGCTGCAGGACGAAGGATCCATGACGGGGCTGATGGTGAGCGATCGGGAGATGGGAAAGAGCGTCTCCGTTGCTCTTGCCGCCCTGGAGGCTGAGATAGGTAATGTTTGCTCCTCTGAACCACTTGTAAGGATACATTTTACAGTAGCGTTGGTATTAAGGGGAAAATGTGTTGTGCAGCCAATTGGGGGAAATTAATGACAATTTACTAGTAAGTAACTTGCATCTGCCTGAACACAGCTGGGATCATGGATGGATAGAGGGATGATTTTTTTTTTTCTGATTTTGCATACATTTTTTTGCAGTAAAATATTTTGCTCTTATTATAATAAATATTTACATGGTCAAAAAATGAAATAGCACAAAGTACTGAATCGCTCGACAAATTGGTGTGCTCATTATTAAATGATGCGGAAGTATTGTTTTCATAAAATAGGATTATTGTCCAATAATAATAATAATAATAATAATAATAATAATAAATTAGGGTTAGACAACTAATTTAAATAAATTATAGATACATGCCATAAGGCAAAAATGTACTTTGACTGGACTGTAAGTACCATGAAAATCTCTAAATACTATATATAATTTACAAAATATAAAAACCATAACATTAAATAGAAATAATGACCTATAATACTAATTATGAAAAATGTCTAATGAAAAAAAAAACCAATAAAATTGCACGCTTACTATGTAAATATTTCTGCTCAGCCATTGACACACCAGACCAGCAAATATTTCACAGGTGACTTCATGCTTGTTTCGTGTCTCAACACGCATTGTCAGCTGTGCCTTTCCAAATCATGTCCAATCAACTGAATTTCCCACAGATGAACTCCAATTAAGCAGTGGGAACCGCTCAAGGGTAATCAGTGGCAAAATAATGCACCTGTGCTCAATTTTTGGAGCTTGTTGGCTGTGAATTCATGTACATGTGATTTCGTAATGTTTTATTTATTAATAAATTAAAAAAAAAAAAAAAAAAAAAAACGAACTCACTGCAAGGTTCTGATGCAACACATTTTCCAGCCTGGGGAACTTTGCTGAATTCACTTTTCGACTAGTCTGTGGCAGGAGACATGACATGTTATTGCAAAAATAAAAACATGTTATTTTCTGGTTCACAAAAGTCCTCCACCAAACTTCACTTCCACTGAATTTATCAACAAGCATTTCTTGGAAGCGCAACTGCACTTTTAGTTTTGAAGTCATTTTCCTCTGCAGCCCTTTTAGTCATCAAACAAACAAGTGGGCTTTCACAGCACTTAAACATCATTTGCTGACCTTCACGTTGCAGCTTCATTGTCCTCACTCAACCTGGAGACGATCACCTCGGATCAGTACGCCCAGGCGTACGTGGAAAAGCTGTTCTCCGAAGACGGTCCCGTGGAGACGCTAAAGAACTACTTCGCCAAGGCCAGTGACAAGCTGAGAGTGTTGAGAACCGGACCGCCGGGGTGCCTGACTGGGACAGACAAAGAGACGGGACGATGTGAAGGACACACGGTTAAAATACAGGACGAGACGGACAAAATGAACCAAAACAGTGATGAAGAGTTGAAGTTGAGTATTGTGGAGACACACAGTATGTAAAAAAAACAAACAAACAAAAAAAACCAATAATAATAATAATATTAATAATAATTAGTTTTTTTGCCATGTTTACAAAGTTGAGAGTTCAATTTGTCCAACTACTCGTGTCTAAATCATCTTTCCCCACTGAAATGAATAGTTACTGCAATATTGATGCTAGCTTTGTTAGCCTGCCTATGGTGTTTTGCACTGTGTGTGAGCATCAAGCTAGTGGCTTTTCATCAAATAAATGAACGTGGTTTGTTTCGATACGGAACATGTCATCTTTGTTTGGTGTCTTAATTTGACAGCAAACCACAACAAGAAGGGTCAAAGAAGAAAAAAAAAATCAAGCAACCGACGGTTCATACCTTGAAAAACTCCGAAGTCATTATAAACAACGAAGCTGTGAAAGATGAACCGTTTTATCTTGCGAGGGATTACTGTACAGGATTTTTGAGAAAGTCCATGTGAGGACAGTTGGGTACAGCATACATTGAGGGTTGACCACTGTCGGTTTGATGCCGTGCAGTTCCACATTTACATAATTCATATGGGAAGGTGTACCTAATGTTGTGGCCAGAGGGCCGTTATTTGAACAACATGGCATTTTGGAAAAAAATAACGTCAAATGTAAATATACACTGCGCACAACCGTATCTCGACAACCCAATTGTCGCCTTCTCAATCCCTATCGCCTCTAATAGCGACGTTAACTGTATCCGCGTGAAGGCAACGTGACACGCCGTGTGACATTCACGGGCGGCGGTTACATCGAGCGTCAGTTTGAAACATGCAGACGCGGCTTCCGCTGTCAAATCAGGTGCGCGTGTCGATTTATGTGAGCGCGTGTCCAAGTGGAAGATGAGGAGGGAGTCACAGGATGTTAGGACGCATCCGAAGGTGGCAAATGACGGCTTGCTGTACAGGACAAGTGGGGCCCCCGATGGCTCAGCACTCCACCAATGAGTCACACCTCACGGCTTCAATTTCCGCCTGATTGCCGTGATTACTCTCTTCGTCCTCATTTCCGTGCGGGCCTGGCAGATTACAGACTTTCACACTGTTAAACATAGATGGAGATGGACGGCTGTTTCTTTTCTTCTCAGGTGGTGGTTGTTGCGGGAGCGTCGCCGCGGCAACGAGGCGAAAAGCGCCGCTCGAACTCGACAAGGGTTCGCACCACCGCCCACGGGCCTCTCAGCAGAGAACAAAGTTGTTAATGTAGGAGAAAGACACGGTACGGGAGAGAGAGACAAGGAAATTGATAGAAAGGGTGGTTGATGAAGGCGATAGGGAGTACGCATTAGATTAATCGAGGAAGGGAATAGAAAGTAGGAGAGAGATGGTGAATTGGAAGTTAGGATGTAGCATGTAGGAAGTGAAATGCAGTAGCCAAGTCGATGGCTCGAAGGATGATTTGGTAGGAACAAAACAAACGGCACTAGTGCTAAGTGGTCGTGGTGGGGTACACTGAACTGGTTGCCAGGTCAATCGCAGGGCGCACATAGACGAACAACCATTCACGCTCGCAATCACACTTTGGAACAATTTCGAGTGTTCCATTAACCTACCATGCATGTTTTTGGAAACTTGAGTACCCAGAGAAAACCCAAGCTGGCATGGGGAGAACATGCAAACGCCACACAGGAAGGCTGGAGCCCAGAATTAAATAGCATGAGGCATATGTGCTGACCAGTGCCACCCATTACAATGCAGTCAATGCAAACTATATTCAAATCCCAAGGTTATCCATAGGTTATTCATGTGCACAGGTTATGCATGCGACATGTGTGATGGATGTAGAAGCATATGCAGATTTAGGATTGCAATTCTAAACATGTAGAGAGAGGGGGGAGAGAGAGATAGAGGGAGAGAGGGGGGAGAGAAAGAGGGAGAGAGGGGGGAGAGAGAGAGTGATGGGACAGAGAGAGAGAGAGAGAGAGAGAGAGAGGATGGAAGTGAGAGAGAGTAGGGGCGATAGAGAGAGAGGGGGGAAGAGAGGGAGGAGGGAGGGAGAGAGAGACAGACAGAGAGAGAGAGTGGGAGAGAGGTAAGAGAGAGAGAAGGAGGGGAGATAGAGAGAGGGGAGAGACAGATAGAGGGAGAGAGTAATCGAGGAAGGGAATAGAAAGTAGGAGAGAGATGTTGAATTGGAAGTTAGGATGTAGCATGTAAGAAGTGAAATGCAGTAGCCAAGTCGATGGCTCGAGGGCGGAGAGAGAGGGGGGAGAGAGAGAGAGAGAGAGAGAGAGAGAGAGAGAGAGAGAGAGAGAGAGAGGATGGAGGTAAGAGAGACAAGGAGGGGGGATTGGGGTCGAGAGGGAGGGTGAAGAGAGAGAGAGAGAGAGAGAGAGAGGTAAGAGAAAGAAGGAGGGGAGATAGAGAGAGGGGGAAGAGAGATAAAGGGAGAGAGGGGAGGGAGAGAGAGACAGAGAGAGTGTATTTTGGTCTATTGAAAATACTCAAGCTAAAATTGACACCTGTACAATCCCATACCTACCAAGATGATCAAAAGTAGCATGTTATCGGAGCTATCGGATGTATAGTTTGTTCAAAATTTGCCTGAGCAACTTTGAAGCAGAGTAATCATTACTGACTAAATTAAATAGGAGTGGGGCGGGGGGGTGTTTCATTTTAACCGTGACTCTCGCACTACTAGAAATGAGTGTGTCTTCCCAATTGTGGTGAAAGTGTCAGAGGCGAGCGAGGTCCGAGACTTGGCAATTGATTCAGAAGCCCGCTGGCTAAACTCATTTCACTTAAGCGGAATTAACTTGCAGTCACTTTGAAACAGACTCGGAAGGGACAATCAATCAGAGCCAACACACGGTTCGTTCAAACGGTGAAAAGTTAACATTCTCCTTTTTTTTTTTCACCTCAGCGCTTTTTTGTGTTTCATCACATGTAATCATCTAAAATGCTTCAAATGCCATCATTTATGTGCAAGAGCAACACACACGCTGGATGCAGGGCAGAGTTCAGGCTCTGGTATTTGCCTGACATTTCATTCTAATCTGCTTGTGAATGTGTGTGTGTGTGTTTGGTTCTGTGAAAAACAGCTGCTTGTACATGGCCACATACAAACACTTCATCTGTCTGACGATGTTTAAACCAGGTTGGACACAGTATTTGCGTTTGTAATCACGCCTCACATACACAAATCTTTGGTGGCCGCATCAATTTTGCGCCAAATATTAGCGGATTCGGATAATCTACCATCTCAGCCAGGGGACTACTGTTCTAAGTTGCTTGTAACTTGTCCCTTAGCTCAATTAACGGCAGATATATTTTCACAAGCTACAAATTTCAAGACATTAGTCATCCTCGTCATCCTGGGCCCAGACATCTAAACAAACAATTGGATGTCCATGAACGGTGACGCGCTGTATCCAAAGTCATAGAATGCTAGTGAGTTTTTGTCTTTAACTAGCGAGTCCAAGGCACCGTCACTTCCCAAGACAGCTTCACTTATGACTCATAAAAATGTCAACAACTTCACAAAACACAATGGATGACGCAGTCTTCAAATGAAGTCATGTCCTTCAATGACAATGAAAGGGGGAGGGGGCGGAAAACAGAGCCCTGCGGCACGCCTCAAATTAAATTGAGAAATTTGTGGCATTACCAATATATAATGCCTTGCTTCAGAAGGTTAAACATTACAAAAATCTTTAATGACTATTCGTGAAGCTCTTCATTGCTGACCTCTTCTCCTCTAAAATAGCGGAGAGGGGTTATACCTGCCAGAAAGCCACATCAAATTGACATGTGGAGCATCTCTCCGTAGACTGGAGGTCTGTGTGTGTGTGTGTGGGGGGGGGGGGGTCTATTAAAAAAGTCTGCTCACAAGTCTGGCACGTATTGTGATTCTAGCCCCGTTCTCAGGCCAGAATAAAAATGGACTCGAGAGACGAGGAAGTGTGTTGTGAGCCAGATTTCACGTCTAGACAGCCGTGACACATCGGCTAATTTTGTCTTCTTCTTACCTCCACGTAGAGCAGGAGTCACCAAAGTGTATGGAGGAACTGGCCGTTGAAGAGTCACCGAGCTCCTGCAAAACAGAGGGAAAAAAAAAATAAAAATCAGCAATCTGTGAGTGTTTGTGTCGTGATAGCGCTATTTACAGGTCATTAAAAAATCATGTTGTTGCTTTAACCTTTTCCTGCACCAATAATGATAATGCCGTGAGACCATGACAATGTGCCATTAGTTTGACTATAGGATGATGTTTTATTTTGTTCTAACATTTGTACGTATGTTTTTTGTTTTTTTTTTCCTGAGATTTGGGTGGAGGCGTTTTCTTTGTGTATTGTCCTTGGTGCACGGCCATAAGACCGTGCCGACGTGTTTTATTTCAGGTACGACTGACTGATTCGGTTTGTTATTGAGCCGGTTCTCATTAGTTGGTTTGCTCGATGAATTGACTCTCATTTTGAAAACCGCATCGATTTGGCAGAGGCGTACATTTGAGCGGAGGTGTTTATTCGGACGGAGACGATCCTTGAAGATCGACGGTACGATAAAAGTGAACTGTGACAAACAACATTATCACCACGGAATCAACACAAAGGCTATTCGTTGACAAGCGTCTTTTTCCACGCCGAGGACACCGTGTCCATGAACGCGAAAACAATAGCGGCAGACAGAAGAACCACTCCACTATTATTATTATTATCATCATCATCATCTTCCTCATCCTCATCATCACAGTCCGACGAGCCATGCAAAGCGAGCGGAGACAATGCTGCTTTATTACACGTCTGCACGAACAGAATTAATAAGCCGCTGTCCGCCAAATCAAAAAGACAAGACGGTTAATTAGCATTGTGGTCAATGGTTGCTAAGCACAAAAAGAAGGAACACGCTCGCCCGTACAACGGATGAACATCGGCAGGCTTGGATGTGTGTGTATATATATATATATATATATATATATAAAGTTGTATACTTTTGTGAGCAAAGTGGAGTTTTTCAAGAAAAGTTCTTCCATTATTATTATTTTTTTTAAAGTTATAATTTCTACTTTGTCAATTTTCAGGACTGCACTTGTAAATTGTTACTAGTTTTAAAATCTTTAAATAATTTGAGATCAAACGTTGTATATTTTTGAATCAAAAGTTGTATATTTTTGCGTGCGCTCATAATTTGATGAGAAAAATTCATACCGATAATATACCTACCTGTATTGCTCAGAAGAAAATAACAAGGTTGTATTCTCAAGATAAAAGGCTGTATATTTTTAAGCTTT